TGAGGAGGGAGGACACTTGGTGTCGAATGAGGTTCTTCGTTTCGTCTGTCGCTCCCGTCTGGCTGAGGATTGATTCCACTGCTGCGATCATGTTGGCAGGTTTGGCATCGGCTGTGTTGAATGAGGCCTCATGCCGTAAATACGAATACCCCTAGGTTGACATGAAAATATGTCTACAAATTCATCTAAAATGGCGTTGGCATTCCTGTCCTGTGAACATTATTTTTGTTGTCTTGGGGCTAATGATTTGAACACCCCTGACTCGTCGTTCGCGCCTATACGTACACTGACTCGTCCAATAATTACTGGAAAGTATCCAAGGGGGTTACTCAAGCCTGGATTTCGTCGCTGCTACTACTATTGTCTGATAGAAGATTGATTCCACCGTTGCGAGCATGCAGACAGGTTTGAAATCTGTCGCGTTAAATGAGGCTTCATGCCGTAACATTAGCGTCTGTCCCTTCGCCAGCCCCCTTGAGGACAGGCTGCATGCCATTTTGTCGTTTTGGCGACATTAGGCTAGACAATTTTCGGAATTATTTCTTCAATGCTGCACCGCGTATCGATTTCTGTTTACGCGTCCCCTCAATCCCCGTCTGCTGGTGCAGCTTTGCACTGCTTTAGTCCATGAACCCCTAACATCTGGTCCTCTAACAGTCAGTCATCCGACGGCTCCGCGAAGCCTTGTGTGACGGTCTTGAAGAAGCGCTCAAATCACTCGTCTTTCCTGTGGAAATATTAATCATCCTAGCAACCGCGTGTTGAACACGAGCTTTTATGAAACATATTTGGGCAACACACGTTATTGTCAAAACACATGTACAGAAGGTGAGTCTTTACTTACCTAGGGGCGTCTTTAGAGCTGAGGATTTCCCATCGTTAAGCAGCTTGGGACATGTCCGGACTAATAATATTCAGACCCAAGTGGAGTGGCGATTTTCAGGAAGTGGTAAGAGTTGTTGTTTTTGTTGAAATCACGCAGGCGTAGGAAGTCATCACTTAAAGCACATCTACCAGTTGGATGGAGAAGGGGATAAATAACACAAATTTCGCGCAAAAATACAGAAACAGGATGGCATATATTACTTGCTTGCTAGAATATCAATCAAAGTTCCTTGAAAGCACATCCGGTTTGCTTTGTATAATTGGCATTGAAGACGACAGAATGTATTCCCAAATTAGCGCGCTGTTGAACGCCTAATAGTTTTCGCAGGTACATGCCTAGATATTATCAAGGAAATATTTTTTTTCTAATTTCGCCTATCAATGAAGTCCAAGTAATAGTCCTTCAAGTATTACCAGTGATAGCTTAGATAAATATGTTACGTACGGTTGGCTCGTAGCAGAAACTTGTGTCTATACCACCTCGCGACACCCTACATGGATAGGCTGCACAGGCTTATAGGAAATTGAACGCCAAATATACCGTATCGACTACTTGAAGGAAAATGCGACATAGCACACAAAGATCGACTGATATGACGGCGCGTAGGTTCGGCACTGAGGGAACTATATTTATGAGAGCATTGGATACTAGGTGCGACTGACTGTTTCGAGGCTCGGCTACATACTGAATCCTTTAATTACGCATATTGCAACAAAAATATGCTAGTTGGAGACTTCCAGAGAGTTATCGGCGATTGAGCCGCTGTTCACTTAGTTTAGACTGCTGCCAATTTAATGTCGTTTCCTCAGTCTGAGAAGGAATAACGCAAAATTCGGAAAACCCCAAAGAGAACTAAAAGGCTGCACATCAGCTCTCCTCTCGTCGTTCAGAGGTCTTAGTATTGGTAGCTTTGTCGGTCGGTTAACCAATAAGCTCGCCCCTTCAGGAAGACCGTGACAGTCAGATTTCTAGTTCTAGCATATTTATTTCTCAGCAACTCATATGCACACAGTGCAGTGAGAAATTCAGCAAATTAAAGTGACGATGATCATGAAAACAACCGTTTTACTCCTTGTCGCTTGTGCATTTACATGCATCATAGGTACTTCTGATAATAACGGTAAGTACACAT